CATGTGTAGTAGGTTGTGATGTGTTAACGTAAGTGCATTGACTGTCTTTTGGTAAGGTGGAATATGGATACCTACGGATACATTGGTGGTGTCTACCAAGGTTGGGGAGTGTAATATTTGGATCACGAGTATAGAGTTGATTAATTGTTGGAATCCTTTATCCGTGAAAACCTGATTAGGTGGAGCATAAGAGAGGCATTTCTATCACTTCTGTTAGGTGGAGACTGATTATCTGCTTAGGTTGGGAGAAGTGATGTGGTGATAGAAGATTATCTGTAAACTTAGGATCTACTGTGATTTACCAATTAGACATGAGTCAAGTGATCAATCTAGCAAGCATGGTGGGCGATGAGGGGAGATATGTGCTCTGGAGGTGTGAGCAACACAGAATGAGATAGGATAGGTGTGGTGAGATCTTTTCATGGGGTCATTTATGCATTTGTTGTATATGTGTTGGCAATTTGTCTATTAACTTGGTGTTAATTTGTTCTTCTGTGTAAACGTATTTTGAAAAGATCTATGCGTCATCCTATATTATATCTTTATCATATGTTTATTTGCTCTTGATTGTTCATTGTGATTATCTATTTCTACTTAGTTATTTGTTTGTGACCTTAGCCCCAATGAGTACGTGGAGTATGTATGGTATGTGTTTCGATTCCGAAACACGAGATAAGATCTATGATCTCAATTATATTTGTTATCTTGATTATGCAAATATTAATTTTGTATTTTGATTGCTTGCAGGTTGATTGGATATCAAGGTGAAGATTTATTGGGTTTTGATACTCAATAAAACTCAGGATACGATGTAAACACCGGAATATAGTTTCACAGGCATTGACCAATGGTGAATTAATTACAAACAATCAAGTCCAAATGCTCAACCCGACCCATATATATTATCTCTTGGATGGTTTTGAATTTTGACCCATTTAACCTTATTATTGGTCCATCTAAAGCCTAACTAGCCTATATATGTTGTCTTTTACCCCAATCATGAGTGTATGATTTGTGTGAGAAAAAGAAGAAAGCATGGCTATTTTTTCCTTGCAAAACCGACTGCCCATTGAGAAAGATAAAACCGATGGCTTCCTTGATGTTTTTGGCCTCTTTTTATCCTTCTTTCATTCTTTCTTCTTGTACCTTTGTGGTCTACAAATTATTATCGTTATCTTGTCCTTCTATGGATAAAATTGAGAAATAATCGAGATAAATATATTGGTTGTAGGTTGGAGCCTTTTGACTAGCTGTTTGATAGAAAAAGATAACGTGAAATTGAACCTAAAAATCACTGATTTGACGATCCTTAGAGCTAGCTTCCGCGACACAATGTTTTTAATCGCTATTCAATAATGTTGTAAAAATCGACCCGCCTGGCCGGTTCAACCAGATAAACCGGGAACCGGGACCAAAATTGGGTCGGTTAGACCTTGAGAGCCTTAGATTTAAAAACTGTTTTTAAAACCGGTGACCCGCCTGGGTTTTAGAAAACCTTTGACCTGCACCAGGTTTGTACGGTTTTTCCGATTCAAAATTAATGAATTTTAAAACAATTGACACCTTTGTTTTTTAATATTTTCAAACTTTCAAACTTCTCCTCATTCTTCCATGCTGAGTGTCGACTTTGTGAATGCCGTCGTCTTTTGAAGACTCTTGACCGTTGAGTTTTCATTCTTCAATCCTTCACCTTCCAGCAATATCTTCAAAAAGGGTAAATTTCTTGTCACTATATAACAATAATGATTTTTATTTTGGATGGAAAGTTATTGGTTTATTTAGTTTGCTGTAATTTACTAGTATCTCATGAGATGATAAGTTATTGTTTTCATTTGCTATTTTTTTGTAAAAATAATAATAATAATAATAATAATAATAATAATAATAATAATAATAATAATAATAATAAACGGGTGAATTTCGATTCGACCTTTTGACCCTTGACCCTTCCCCTTTTCCGGATCAATGGCCGGATCGATTTTTAAAACATTGCTATTCAGTGGTACTAACTCACACATAAGAGATGCCATTTATTCCTATTTAAGGAAGCATAATTTTTCAAAAAAAAAAAAAGAAAATTATTTGACCCAACCTTCTTACTTGGTTAAGGACATGAGATGATGCTATAATCATCAATGCTGTGCACAACACATTTTTCCTCATTCTTTTGTCTATTTGGATGACAAACGTTTTTCATGAGAATGGCAACATAAGGAGAAATCATGCACTCCCAACTCAATCTAGATTCCGATGCATGTAATACAGAGCTAAGTTTTCACATCTTTAGAAATTTTACTACAAGCATGTCCAGCGAAACTTAAAAACTTTGCTTATAAGTAAATTCACTTACAAGTTTTAAAATAAATATATTTTGCTCATTTAGATTGTAAGTTAAGAGTTACTTTAAAAAAAAAAATAAATAAATAAAAATCACTTAAAACTTCAAAAAAGAAATGAAATGGAAGTGAATTATTCGAAAACGCTCAAAAAACTATTTTTTAAGCTTAAAAAACATGCCCTAAAATAATCATCTTTCGTTTAATACAAATATTCAACTTTACATTACAATTCTAATACACATATAATTTTGTCACGAATCACAGAGTTGGCTAATCCTCACAAATTCAAAAATAAACGAATAACATTTCCTACCATTTTCACTTATTTAACTCAGTCAAAAAATATTCATAGGTCTCACTAGGCTTTCTATTAAGCAATATCCCAAGAACAATATGAGTAATTAGCACAAAATGTTCATCTTTTTTAATGTTATTGTGCAAATCATCCATACATTTTATTTTTTGACATTTTCACCTTTATTTTCATCTTTCATTTGCGGAGATTATCATTTTCATCCAATTTCTCCAAAAAAAAAAAAATGTAAAATAACACATATACCCTCATATTTAAATAGAACAAAAAAAGAAAATAAAAGAAAAAGTAAAGAACCAATTGCAGTCACATTCCCAAATTTTTTTGAAAAATATGAATGAGTCCAAATAAATTATTAAAAAGGTAATTAAAACATTTCGACTCGTTTGCACTTTTATAAAAGTTTGGGAATATTATTGCAATTTGTTCTTTAATTTTTCTTTTCTTTTTTTGTTTTATTTTGTATGTTTGTCATTTTACATTTTTTGTTGAGAAGTTAGATGAAAATAATGATTTTCGTAATGAAAGGTGAAAAAAATATCAAAGAAAATGAAAGGTGTGAACGTTTTGTACAATGACATTAAAAGATAAATATGTTTTATGTTAATTACCCAATGCGAATGCTAGTTTGTGAAATAGAGTAATTAGTACATAACATCACTACCTTTCACTATTATCGTGAAAAACGTTCCTACCATTTTTATTTTTATTTTTTTAAATTTTTTTTCTTTTTGCAATTTCACCATTACTTATACCTTTATTGCGTAGAAAACATCATTTCTATCCAATTTCTCATTGAAAATTAAAAATTTGTAAAATGATAAATATACACTCCTATTTAAATAAAATAAAAATAAAGAACTAATTATAACTATAGTCGCAAAATACCAAATGCGTAATTAAGGGTGAAAATATCAAAAATGGAAGGTGGAGACTTTTTCCGCAATAATAATGAAAAGTATGGACGATACGTGCTAATTACCCTTATGAAATGACAATACCAACCTCGCCAATTAAATCCAGTGAAAATGTGAATATAATCAATCAAGTATTGGAGCGCCGCCACTGTAAAGTACAAATCAACCACCGTAATCGCTACCTCATTCACTACCGGCCCAAGCAGAAGCTATTATTTCGGGTCCGAAAATCCATGCTGGAAATAATCTGGAATTTTTGTGTTTTCTGAGATGGTATTATTATTGAGTTTTTACTGTTTAGCTTTTACTATTATTGTCTCTTTATGATAGGAATGAAAAATAAAATTCGTTCAAACTGATATTCACATGGTCACGCTTTGAACAATACAAGGATTCTCACCTAATCGAATACACAAGATGGGACGGGAATCGTTGACCCAAGACGGATACGGAGAACATGGTCACCTTCCCGTTACGTGTCCTATTTTAAAATTCATTTCACAATCACCATCATCTTTTCTATAGAATATATATCTTGTCTTACAAATTGGGAAAAAAATTAACGATGCTTACCAACTAAAGATATGAAAAAATGAAGTGAAGAAAAAAAGGGAACGTTAAACAGGACAGGTCCACAATCCATCCGTCTTAACTGGGTATAAGTGACAAGGGCAAATAAACAAAAATACTCGAACGGAATGGGGACTAGAATAGTTGTCCTGACTCACACCGTCCTGTTGCCATCCATCCAAGTCTTTGTTGATAAAGATGGTTTGCTCGAGTGCTAAGCTACGGCTATAAGTTATTATTTTCACTCGCAAAAAGATATGTATGTATATCTATGAACACGATATTCTTGTTTTCATGTGAATCTAAAAAAGCATAAAAATCTTTGCATAAAGTTTGTCTTTCAACTCTAACCTTTGCATAAATGTTTGAAGTGAATTTGAAAACTAGAAAAACTTTAGTTGTGTATGCGTGAGAGAGGAGGGTTTGGCATGCTAAAGTATGTCATTATGGATTGTAATGTTAACTCTTATTCAGCGATTTGTGAAAATCATGTTAGAGTATGCCAATATGTTGGTGTAGGTTGTCGTGTTGATAATCTTCGAATGCAGTTGGACCTCGAGGCAAATTGTGAGCTGTTGATGTGTCAAGGACTTGCCAACACCTCAACTGTTAACGCAATCAAAGAATATCAAATTACGGCTTTCTGTCTAATATATTTCTACTTTATATTTTGGAACGGGACTTGCACTTCTTCAATCCTTGTATTATTGTCAATATTAACAATCGATGAAAATTGAAAGAAAGGAAGAGTAATGTAAAGCAATTAAAAAAAAGCATTATAAAATTAATATTAAAAAGAAATAATAAATCATTCATAAGTGCTTTAATTATAAAACATCGTAACATGTATAGCCCTCTACTTATTCACAAAACTTTCATGTTATGTTCTTACAGTTACATTTGGTAGAAGTCGCCCCAAAAATTGACTTTAAGGAGGGTATCCGAGTTATTTCTAAGTCCACGAAGATTGCCTCTCGCGATCTACATAAAAGTCAAAAGTAGTTTACATAATTAAGTACTCTATACTAAACATGACCCAGAACTTCATTCTTGCTTCCACCCCACCGACAACTTCAACAAAATTTAGTGATTTACTAATCCAACTATGAATTTACGACATAGCAAAAATGACACTTTAACTCGATTAACTTCATTATATATGTATATCAATGTAAATGTAATGCTATCGAAAAATGTTGGACTAATGATGGCCCGATGATGACAATGAATATGAGAAAGACATTGATGAGCAAGGCGTCCCAATTGAACTCTCCGGTGAATTGCGGCATACGGGGCATGTGCCGTTGAGCTTAAGCCATTCATCTATACAATTGTTATGAAAATAGTGATTGCACTCTGGAATGGACTTCAATGTTTCCTTGGGCTCGTATTCGGATAAGCATATTGGACAAGTGCTATCACTAGGCTTCGGAAGCCTCCGGCTCTCCCCGAGCACTGTCTTCGGAAAAGACGCAATGGTTGGCCCATCAAGGCCAGCAGCTCCGACCACCGGCTGCTGAGAGATCGTGATGATTCCGAGCTCGCTAGAGTTTAAACGACCGCGGTGACTGAAAGCCCTGATCCTACCAAATGCGAAACACGCAAGTCCGATTAAGCACACGAGTCCTGGTATTCCAACGCCAATGATAATCCCATATTTTGCACTTCTGGGAAGACCTGATGCTGTGAGTAAAAGTACCAAGATATAAAATAACATTCTTAAAGAATACAAATATTGGGGGAAAACAACAAGTGGAATAATCTTCCTTGAATCATCATACTACAATCCAATCTGAAGTCAACACCTTAGTTTGTATGAAGGATTTTATTTCATATTAGGTATATATTGTCACGAATCAATTATATTTATTTGGACACCAATTTTGACTCATTCCAACATTACTAAAGCTACTGTTCACAGTCTTCACAATCCAGTCGATAAGGGAGTGGCAAGCATTTCTCCTGTCGAATCTATTCAATCCAATGTACTAAACATATCGTTAGCACTTTGTTAGATTGTCTAGATCAGTCTCTTACAAGACTTTTGACAGGTTCCCAGGTTACATAACATGGTTTTTATAACAAGGGCAAACATGACCAAACGACCATGTTTTTGAGGATTAAAGAATGGCCTTGAACATGCTAGGACAAAAAGGTGAAGAACAGCATATGCTTTCTCACTTACAGTCCATTTGTTGGATCAGAATAAGAATAATCGTAATTAATGGCATCACAACCAGATTGGACAGCGATTGACAGTGAAATGTATACTAATATATGTTTTTCGAATTATAATTAAAACACTGTCCAGCTGAACTATCTGATCATTGGTTCGTTTAACTACCAAGCGTAATTTATATCAATCAACATTGCCAACAGCGTCACTTGTGGGAGACGTGTCTGTCAAACTTAAACCAGAGAAGAAAAATAACTCTTCTGTGGAATAGTTTGGCAATGAATACCTATTGAAATACCGAAAATGAGAAGAAAATAAAATAGTTTAATTGGAGTAAAACACAGGTTTTTTAACAAGCTGTGAGCCCTCCCTGTTGTGCAAAACAGGTTTATTGTTATCAATCTAATCTAACAGTCCTCCCTTAGGAGAGTTCACATGCAAACTTCAGAACATTTTTGGAGCGTGGAATTTGAAATATGGATGCAAACTTTAAAAGGATTTCGTTTAGTCCCATTGATCAGACTAATTTTTCTCATATAATTAGCAATAAACCAAACCAAGTGCAAAAAAGGGATTCATCTGATCCCAAATTTATTGGGACATGGCTTAGTTTTTTGTTCCTGCCGGATATAATTCTGATGCAAAGCTATGGAAAATTTTCAGTACCCCATGTTAAATAGAACAAAACTTGCCTGGATTTGGAGGTCTTGAGCAACCAACTTCAAGAACTTTATTGCCTTTGTACCCACAAATTCCACCGTTAGCTTCACAAGATCTGCATCCAGGTTCATTCCATGTCAACTGAAAATCCTCCCTGAGTTCCATTGATGTCCAGTACAGAGAAACGTAGAGAGATGAAACAATTGGAATCTTGCGACAGAACTGTGGAATTTGTTGAGATGAAGAATACGAAGGGGTTGCCATAACAGTGTAGTTTACACCACTAAGGCATAACAATGGGAAAAGATCATATGAAAATGAAATGAACTCTATCCCGACCGCAGAGCAGTTGAAGAAAGTGTATTTCCTTGTGAAAATCACCTCGAATGGAGAATCCGAAAGACTGAAATTCAGAATTTTCTTTGGATCACAACGATCAGGATCAGTGATAAGAATGGTCTGCTGAGTGTAATCTATGTAGTCTACTACAACTTCACCAGACCGTGGAAGGCTAAGAATTGTTTGGTTTTGGTTGTTGCAAGAAAGGTCGAAGCCCGGATAGCCACAATGCTCTGGTTGCCGGCCTATCAGCCGGAATGGGAAGCGGATTATCGGCCCATGAACACTATCACAAGATGCAGGGATGCAACTCTTATCACATAAAACTGGTTGTGTAAAGGAAAAGAGCAAGAACAAGCAGAACAGTACTAAGGTTTCCATATGGTTTAACAAACAGAATCCTACACAGTTTTCTGCTATCAAAGTTCTCTGGGAATAAAAACAAACGCCTTGTGACAGATTCCTAGTGTGCAGGCAATTTATTCAGTTCGAAAAACAAAGATTATTTGAAACTTAGAGAGTGGGGGTGGGGGTATTTGATTTGGCACGTAAGAATTTATTGTGACTGTTTATATAAAGTTTAACAGTTCCAAGAATAATCGTGCCAATCAGATTAAGCTATTTGGTACTTGGACTTTCTGGACAAGTAGAACATTTTCAGACAAAGATTAAGTTGAAAAAACTTGATGAAATTGACTGATAGGGTTCAAAGTAATCAACTATAATGCATGAAAAAATATAGTGTAATACATGTCGAGTTGAATCTATTCATCTAAAACTTTGAAGCGTTGAAGTTGAATTTTGAATATTTTCCAATTCTTCTTCCATGATGAGGTATGAAAGTAATAGCAGAAAATCAAGATAATATATTTTGAATCACACGAGACTTTCACATATATTTACATTTGTACATGTTAGTGTGTAGAAATTCGAGGTTTAAAAAACGTAAAGGGTATTTGGTGGGGATTAAAATTAGATTTTTTTAGTAAATTGTGATAGAAGTTTTTGAAATATGTGGTTGATAGATTATGAAATCCATGAAAGATATGATTAATATTGATTGTTTGATTTTGACTTAAATTAAAATTAGATAATTAGATTTAATCCTTTCCAAACAACTCATAGTGACATATTTGATCTAAAATATTGAATATCTTCATACGGTTTATTCAATAATGCATTCATTTTACGGTTGTGAGTTCTACCACAAATATCTTATTCATTTACATCTTGTTTGACAAAATTTTGCTAAAATTTTATTCAACTGAGCAAACTTCAATTTTAACGGCCATTTTTTTTTTTAATCGAAGTTTCAATCGTACATTTCATCAACTTTCGTCTAAGGCTTTGTCACACAAACCCCCTAACGTTGAGTTCTATCCAATACTGCTTACTATTAATGCATTGCATGATTAAATATATTATCTACGGGATATTTTCAATATAACTATACTTATGACGTGAAACATACATTTTACACTCTCTTTCATTTGCAATCTTTCGTTCCCAATTTATTAAAAGGATAATTGCAGCAGGAATCCCGAACTCTCAATTTTTTGTACACTTTATCTTAATCTTCAGTTTGTGTCACTTACAATCCCAAATCTTTCAAATAAGCACATGGGGTCCAAATAGATGATTTTGTGTTAGTTTAACCGTTAATTTGCTCGATCTTCGCGGTTTGTTGCTTTGGAGAGCCCAAAATATGATAATTGAAAGCGTTGTTTTAAAATATATATTTATTATAATTTAGTTTGTATATAATATTTATTAATTAACACTTTAATTTTTAAACTTAGTTTCAATGAAATGCATTATTCCCTAAGACCAATTCCAATTTTCAACATCTTGGGTCCCACTCTTCCCCAGGGAAAAATAAGAATTATATAGTTGTTATGACTAAGAATTTAAGTTTTCAATTTTATTTTAAAATTCTTTTAAGAACACAACAAACTATTTGTATAATTTCAACAATTTCTTTTTCGTTGAATTCAAAACTTCTTTTCGTAGCGATTTGACTATTCGTCTTCTTTTTAGTTTTTACGCGTAGTTGAAAATAAAAATAATTCTTACTTTTCAAACAAAAATAAAGATAATTTCCCGTAGATTTACTTTGTGGCTCGTCAAGTAAATTCAGTTCAACTTACTCTACAAGAAAAATAGTGGCATGTCACTGCTACAAAATAAATTATAACATCGTCAAATTTCATCAACGAAAGCGCATCTAGTGTAGTGGTATCATAGTACCCTCCCACGGTACTGACCGGGGTTCGATTCCCCGGATGCGCATTTACAAATTTTCGTTTCATATGGTATAATTATAAATGTTTTTTTTTCTCCTCTTTTTTTTTTTTTTTTTGGCATTTCATTAAGTGGGTAAAACTAATTGTTTTTAATATAATTGAAAATATTGTATTGTAACAACTGAGATGTAATTTTATTCTTGGAGAATTTAAAACAATAGTTGCTTGTACCATTTCATATGTTATAACTATATATAAAAAAAAAATTCATTTTTATTTTTTTGGCATTTTATTAAGTGGGTAAAAACTAATTGTATTTAATATAATTGAAAATACTGTATTGTAAGAACCAAGATTTATTTCTATTCTTGGAGAATTCAAAACAATAGTTGTTGGGTATAAGAGAATGTAAGAACTATGTTATTTTGTGAACATCGAGGTTTGTATGGTCTTCGATATCAATATACTTGATATGTGAAATAAAGTGAAATTTAATAAAAAAGTTCATCACCCTCGGTCATTAGAGGAGATTGGATAAGCAAAACAATGCTAATGTAAAATAGTTAATTGTATCGAGTCATTTATCTGACAATCAAGTTGTCACATCTTGTAATAAACTCAAATGCTGAAAAAAGGCAATCAAAATTTAGGAATTGATCAATTTTAAATTAAATTAAAGATATTTGAAGGTCGACTTCCACTTATATATCATATAGACCGCCAAATAAATATTTCTATCTACAGATGTAAAAAACAAAATAATCAATCTTCGTATTTATAGAGAAATATTTTTTTACGAAAAATATAGAAGATCGTTACTTGTTTAAGTTAGACAACGATGTATTAAAATAATATCTAAATTAAGCTTTCTTTGCTTGACTAGCGGTTGGCCATACTTCAACAAGACAGATTATCCACAGTCGTCGATCAAAAGAATGTGTATACAAGTTTGTCACTTTTGATTATTCCAATAAGTTTCCTTGACACGTCAACTGAGATCATGCTTATGTCATTTTTTTAGGAATTTTTTATTTAGTTAATTAAATCAATATTTGTCTCAATCATTATTTTGAAAATAATATTTATCATATTAATTAAAAAACATAATACAGTAACTTATTGAAACTTAAGCTCATTGATGTACTTGATAATTAATACCTTTCATCGGCTTAATTTTCTGTCACTAGATTATATCATTGTATTTTAAGGTATAGTAGACTTCTGTAAAGTGAGTTAGTCGTGCTAAACTAGTTAAGCTCATTACATCTAACAAGGGAATGTTTCCATCTATAAAATTCTTCATAATATTTATGAATTTACCTGAGGAAGACTTGTGTGAAGGACACCATTGCCTTTATTGAAATTAATTTTTTTTAAAAGTTTATTGACTAAAAAAAAAAAATTATCTGCCTTAATTCATCATTATAACATTCACCTATTACTATGCGTTGTAAGTTGCTCATATTAGTAGTTTTATGATCCATGTTTATTGAACTGCTATTCGTGAGGACATATTGATTTTTCTAAGCTTTTAAAATAAGATTTAGATATAAAAATTTGTGTTTTCTTTGACAGCTACAATTTTCTAATAATATAAGATTCAACATGATATTATTATTTTGAATCTATAAAAGTTGTGCATGGCA